GAGAGAGAGAGAGAGAGAGAGAGAGAGAGAGAGCGAGAATGAGGGATAGAGAAAAGAGACAGAGAGCGAGAGAGAAAGGAGAGAGAGAGAGAGAGAGAGAGAGAGAGAGAGAGAGAGAGAGAGAGAGAGATTGCGCGTAAGCCGAGAGAGAGAGGAAGCGACAGCTAAAGACAAGGAACCCGCGGTCACTGGCGATGATCTTCAAGCCATCCTCGAGCGACAGCGGGCGGAAGCTACAGTTCGGGGACGCTGTGCGAGCAGCCTTCCGCTGGCCCGATCGCGGGCACCACCATTGTGAAAATACCCCCCTGGCGGCAGAAGACCCTAAACAGCGCAACCGCCGACGACCGAGCCGACGTCCGACGCCGTCGTCGGCGTCGTTGTCGTCGTCGCCATCGTCGTCGTTGTCGTCTTCGTCGTCGTCTTCTCGGGCCCCGCCCCCTGCGGCCCCCTCCCCGACGAACGAGCTGAAGGCGTTCGTGACCAGAATTTCGGAAAGTCGGATCCAACCGTGGCGACGCCGTTTGCGGATCTCCCTGGACTCCGCAGCTCCTCCTCGCCACTTCCACCGACCGACCACCGACCGACTACCGACCGATCGACTACCAATAAACGACGACGACGACGACAACGATGACGACGACCATGACGACCGACGACGACGACGACCGAAGACGACGACGGCCGATGACCGATGACGACCCACGATTGACCCGACAACTGGCCACCGAAGACGACCGAAGGAGAACCGACCGAAAACGGGCGGAGTCGTCGAGAGACTGGGCCTAATTAGTGGCGCGACAATCCGCATTTTGGAGGGGGCCGGCTTGCTCCTGACAGGGTTCTTGGTGAGCGAGCAACGACATGTGTACATGTACGCCTTCCGCGGTCTTGCGTGCACGAACCTCCGCGTCCAAACGCAATGCGGCGGAAACAAACCGCGTACATGTACATATGTTGTCGCCCTCTGACTTGGGGCACTGGATGAATCCAACCTGCTGGCTGGCCAACCCCCCGCCCTCCAGGAAAATATTGGTGCGAGCACAAAGGACAGGCGAGGCGAGAGAGGAAGAGGAGCAGGGCGACGGAAGAAACACTGAGGTGGCGGAGGACGAGGACGGGGACGAGGATGAGGAGGAGGGTGACGAGGAAGAGGACGACGAGGGTGAAGAGGGTCGGCACAGCCTTGGTCACAACTGGCCGAAGTGCTTCAACTATGGCGGCTGTGTCTGCAAAGCGCGGTTCTTTCGCCTTGCACCTCGGCGTGTGGCCCGCTGAACTCGAGCCGGCATGCTCTGGGCCGAAGAGGGGGAGAGGGGGCGAGAAGCCGGAGCTCTCGCATCTGCCGCGCCCAACAAAACAACTAGGACCCCTGTTTGCAGGGAAAGTCCGCCGACCCCGCATAATCACAGGCCGTAGTTGTCGTGAACGCCGCACATTGTGATTTCGCCTCAGCGCGTGCTACATTCCTGTCGTCATACACAATTATTTTCAACCCCTGTTTGCAGGGAAAGTCCGCCGATCCCGCAGAATCACAGGCCGTAGTTGTCGCGAACGCCGCACATTGTGATTTCGCCTCAGCGCGTGCTACATTCTTGTCGTCATACACAATTATTTTCAACCCCTCTTTGCAGGGAAAGTCCGCCGATCCCGCAGAATCACAGGCCGTAGTTGTCGTGAACGCCGCACATTGTGATTTCGCCTCAGCGCGTGCTACATTCCTGTCGTCATACACAATTATTTTCAACACCTGTTTGCAAGGAAAGTCCGCCGATCCCGCAGAATCACAGGCCGTAGTTGTCGTGAACGCCGCACATTGTGATTTCGCCTCAGCGCGTGCTACATTCTTGTCGTCATACACAATTATATGCACAGTCGCACACGCATACATTATATACAAATGTGTACAATCGATAAACCATGAAATGCGTATACATGCATATATATACACATATATATATATTATACATCCATACATACATGCATACATATATATATATATATATATATATATATGTATATACATGTATAAATGTATATGTATATACACAGCTAAACATAACAGTTAACACTACTATGCACATACCATGTATATATATATGTATATATACATATATGTGTGTGTAATAATATGTTTGAATGCATGCACGGGTGTACGTATACACACGCATGTTCGGTGTGAGTGATACGTCGTTGATGATGGTTGTAAAAAAAAAAAACGAAAAGGCGCACTGCGCAGCGATAGGGCGCAAAAAAAAAAAAAAAAAACGCGCCCTTTCGCAGAAGCAGCCGCGAAAAAGAGCCGGATGAAAAGGCGCACCGACCCTGTGGGTAAAATATGTTCGGGGAATGCTGGGTCTCACAAGGTAAATCGTGAAAACCGCGCAACTCTGGCCATCCAAGGGCAACTCGCCGGGGCGATTAGCCCACTGGCAGGCACTAGTAAATGCGCGAAGCTCGGCAGCCTGCGGGGCCTGAGGCAACGGGGCCTCTAATCCCGAGTTGCCCGGGAACTGTGGCACGACGCCGCGCGCTGAAAGCCCAGCCCCCACGATTAAGCTCGTGGATCACCCCCTCGTGCACGACCCACCAGCAAAGATATCACCCCGGGCGCCCCTAGAAATATCACCATGTTCACCAACCACACCACCGCGATTCCGCCAGAAGAAGCGGGCCCAGGAACAAGACAGCCAGGGTGAGGGGAACCCCCCCAAACAAACTAGAGCATCATCAGCTTCTGCTGCCAGCCTACGCACTGCTGCCTTAACTAAAGCTGCGCGCTCATCTTCGACAGCGACGCACTCCTATAGCCTGCGCCTCAAGGTGTCACTCGCCTCCTGACAGAGAGGGCACAAGCCGTCAATCTTGTATCCCATGCCTACAACGTTCGAGCGGGTGTAGATGGCATCGCAGGAGAGAACGCGACTGCGTCCTTTCTGGACAGGGCTAGGCAGCACCGGGTTCAGAAGGGAAGTGGCGCCGTCAACGCACGCTCTACTTTTCATACAAAACCCGAGACCACGAAGGACCACGAAGGACCGCTTTCTTCAGGATGGTGTTAATCAAACGCGGATGAACAAAAAAACGGTAGCGGGATTTGGTGGCCCTGGTCTGTCAATAAAACCGCAAACGACGGCATGCTCCACGAAATTCGCTCACGAGATTTCCGAAGCGCACTAACAGGACCCCCGAGCGATCGCCACAGCGGGAGCTCGCCCGAAAAATCAGCCCCCCAGGCAGCTGCGAGCTCCGCGAGAGGAACGCAATGGAAATAAAGAAACACATGCGACGTCAAAATTTCCCTGGCCCGCCAGATGGCGGGCGCGACGCGCGCAAGCCAGCGCGGGTCCTGATGGGCCAGCAAACGACGCGCGAGGCTGCCTCCTCGCGCAGAAGGTTGGAGCACTGACGCCGCCTGCCCCCTACAAACAAGCAGCTCGCGATCCGCGAGGCCCAGAAGCGAAAACCTCGCGAGCAAAGCCTAGAAAGCCGATAACATAACCCCTTGGATTCACGTTCACGGGCCTTTGTTTATTAGATCTCCCCTTGCATCTGCGAGCCTCCCCCGCGCAATCGCCCGCCCCGAAGTTGCCAGCTTCGCGTTCGGCGAGGTTGGCCCACAACTTGCGCGCTTTATCCAGCTGCCTGGGCAACCGAAAACTCGCCGCGCCTCGCCGAGGGGCAGAACCGACCCCGGCAACGAAGGAAGGGCCGCAACCTCCTTCACGGAGGGGGCCAATATCACTGGGGAAGGGCCCGAACAAGGAGCGGCGGAGGTCGCCGAAACGCCGAGCATTTCAATCAACTAACGCGTGGCGACAACTCCACGCGGACAAGGCTTGTTGGGGGGGGTTGTGGGGCGAACAAGGGAAACAGAGGCCGCGCCTTTCGCGACCCCCGAATTGGTCAAACAGTAGTTATACTGTTTGAGGTACCCAGCGCATCGGCGCGCGTGCTCTCCAGAGGCCAGAATGCGAATCTTAACGAGGTCCTGATCAAGGATCCCACCCGAGGAAATCACGCACGGTTCCACGTCAAAATCCCCCCCCCGCACCGCGAACTACTGTGAACCAGCATCTTTGCCGACCGACGCACGAGGCGACCCGGGGGGGCGCAGTCCGATCCGAGAGGTCCCCGCAGTCGTGGAAATAAGATGACGCGACGAGGAACGGAGGGGCACCAGGGAGTTCAACGATGCCCGCGACTGCGCGAGCTCGAAGGCAGCTCGCGCCCATAGGGCGGGGCGCGGAAGCCGAGACCACCGCGCGCAATGACCGCCGCCCCCGCAGGGGCGCCTCCTCCTGGAGCAGCAACTGCAGGCGCCCATGGCAATTTTTCCATCCATTGCGAGCGCACCAGCTGGAAGCAGTAACAATATGATGGTCGAGCTGCCCATGTTCTCGAAGGAAGACGACGTGAGCACTCGCGCCTTCCAACCAGGCCTGGCCATGCCCCCAGCCAGTCGCATCGCAGGTCTCGATCGCAGGACAAAAGGTTTCAACCAGAAAATCTTGGACCCCGAACGGCCTTGTGAGACGAAGACCCTCGGAATCAAAAATCCCGTGGGCCGTCGGGCCCCTCCGGGCCATTTTAACAGTAGCGGGGGAAACGTCGGCCAGAAAGACCCCCTTGGACCATGCAAGCGTCCGTCTCAACAACCTCAAACAAAGGGCCCGGGAACGAAGGGCGAGGCGAAAACGAATTGAACGAGCTCAGATCGCGGGTAGGCGGAGCGGCCAAAGCAGCCAAGAAATATCTGACGTCTGTCCCTGACGTCGCGCTCTGAAGCGTCAACGTTGGCGCGCTTTCTGAGGCCGGTTCGGAGGCAATCCAAGGCCGCAAATGGGGGCTCCCCGGGCCCGCTCCTGGGCTCGTGCGCGCCCCCAGTAGCCCGCCGAGGGAAGACAGCGACCGGCGGCTGAAGTCACTCACCAGCGGACGTGGCCACTGCTCCACGCCCTGAACTTCTCGACGTAGGTCGCGCCTTTTCAACTCCACGGCTAGGAAGTAGGCGGCGCTGGCGCTGACTTGCCAGGCTGCAGGATCTTAGCAGCACGAGCATGGACAGCAGGATGGAGGGCAACAGCTTCGTCGGGGGACTCCCCTGACTCCACGACGACAGGGGGCCCCTCCTCTGCAGCTGTGGCGCCACCCTCGGTGCCAGGCGTCGCAGAGGGCGTCGCCGCTGGGGCCGCCGCCCCAGGCTGGTCGCCACCAGCTCCAGGGCCCACGTCCGGACGGCGACGCTTCGCAGCCAGCCGAGCAAGCAGGGCCGACTGCTCCTCTTGAAAGGCCTTGGCCCTCGCCACCGCCTCGCCGAGAAGGTTGCGCGCCGCCTCCTGCAGGCCGGACTTGAGCTTAGCAGCGCGTTCGCTAGTCTCCTCCAAGTCACTGCCCGAAATATCATAGCCCTCCTGGGGGGCAATGACGAATCACTAGAGACAGGAATGTCGCTAGCCTCACCAGCCAGGATACAAGCAACGCCGAGCTTGGCAATCTCTACCTGCGGTGGGCCTGCCATTTCTCTGTTGATCTCCTGCACCAGCTGGTTGTTCACTTGCTCTGCCTGAACCAACCCAGACGAAAGATCCGCGACTCGAGCTTTCCGGCGGGCGAGATCCTGCTCCATCCTCTCATAGGCCGCGCACGCATGCCCCGTCTTGTTCCTGAACGTGCGCATCTAATTGAAGGCCCGGTTGGTCTTTTGCTGGAGCGGCATAACTTGGTTAGATTGGCGACGTCGCTGGTCCAAGGCCTGACGATGACGTGCCGCGCCAACTTTGTCTCCACAACTCTCCAGCAAAGACGCCAACTTATCCAGATCCTATGTCGAAGCAAGACTCGACGCCGGCTGCGAAGCTTGAGCCCCTCCTCGTTGCCCAGAGCCTGACGGGCCCCAGCTGGCATCAAATTGTGGGCCCGTACGCAGAGGAAGACTGAAGTGTTGGCCTGGGGGAGAGGGCGGGTGATGAGGTGGTCCTTGATACCAAACACCTCGAGCACCCTGCGGCTGCGCAGGAGACACATCCGATCTGGTCGTTCTGCACTGCTTACAAAAGGGTCCATACAGACTTTTTGTTGCGACATCTGCATGCGCCACATGTCCACCGCCCACCACGGGGTTCGGTCCACGGAGCGCCAGGGAAACGAGGACCACCGGCCTCAGCAAGCAGCGCCATCGCGCCCTCACGAAGCACGTAATGATACCGTGCTTTCTCCTCAAAGAGGCGCTCACGCAGCAGCACACTGATGGTAACAGCACAAGGTGCTGGACCAAAGAGGCTTGGGCCAGAACGGCTTGAGCACCTGTGCCCCGAAACGGCCCAGGCCGGTGAGTTCGGAGCCCATGCTGCTGCTGCAACGCACGCCCTCCGAAGCTCGTCCATGCTTTCGGACTGCAAAAACGTTGTTGCTCAGACCAGCGAGCCTCTGGTCAGAGCACTTTGTCACAAGCGTCCTTACGCGGAGTTCCTGCTGCCCACCAATCGTAAAATAGTGGACGCAATTTTTTGAAAGCAAAAGCTCATGTTGTCGACTCACCCGACCTCAGTAGTCACGGCAGGCTCCCCAAGGCGGGGACTGAGTTGGGGGATTCTGTTTCCAAACATACTTTGCCAAGGCACCCCTAATCCACTTTGGACGAGTCCCAGTGGCTGGGGCGATTTGATCAGATATCTACGGCTGCCACCACTATCCCGCTTGATGTTGTGATTGCCTGGCCGCGTCTCCAACTTAAGGGAGTGGTGTTGGACAAGAAGGACAGATCGAGCCAACCTAAAGAGGCTGACTCGACCCATAGTTGGGTCCGGGTTTCAAGTTTGTGGCAGTGCGAAATGGGCTTGAGGGCTTCTCGAAGCGTTCAGGGCACCCGCTCGCTGTATCGTAACGCGAATTGCCTCTTTACTCCTCCGCCTGGCGTGCGCAATACGCCCCCTCATATTGATCCGACGGGGGCTCGCCCGTCGGAAACAGCGTTGGTTTGCGCTGGTCTGTTCTGACAATGTCCCGTTGGTTGTGTGTGAGGTAATATGCCGACTCCAGTCACGGACATCCCTGTAATTTCTGGTGAGTGTTCTGGAAGGCCTACGTCCAACGCTGCCAAACATGCCAGGACTGATATGTACGTAAAGGGAAGTACTCCAAAAGGGGTATTGTGACAGACGAGCGTGCTCCGTGGTCTGTGGTGTAGTTGTCCCTCGTGTGCTGCTCTTACAGTGTTTTGAATTTGCGCGCGGGCTTTCGGTTGTGGTTTCGAGAGCCCCTTCGCCTGCGAGGCTCTGCCTCGTCTTTCTCTAACTTTTTGGCAAGCTCCAGGCTTCCTTTATGCAGGGGGGCAGCCTTGGCGTACCCGTGCGGTCATGACTGTTGATGTCGATCCACGGCGACATCAATATTCAAACCGTCCGAACCGCCAGCGGAGCCGACGCTGGCCGACACCGAATCAAGCGAGCGCAACTGGGAATGACGTAGCGAAGCAGCAACGACGCAACAACTGACCGAACCGGACGGATCGAACGAAATCGCATGCGTAGCCGAACCGACACCCTCGACGACGCCCCCGAGCTGGCGGCCTCGGTCGGCTGCCCCCCGCGGTCCCGCGTGCTTGCATGAGGAGGAAGGCGGGAGGCAGGGATGACAATTTCGGTGAGGAGGGAAAGAGACGGCGGGGGGATAGAGGAGGAGGGATTAGGACCCCCCTCCTTCTGTAGATAGATCAAGATCAATCGCGACACATGAGATTGACGAGGATTGAGGAAGGACGGAGGGTGGAGGGAGGAGGATGGGAGGAGGATGGGAGGATGATGGCATGCTGGGGGATGAATACTGCCAGGGAGACTCAACGCCCATCAGACGAGGGAGGAGTGAAGGAGGCGGGAGGAGCCCTCTCTCTCCCCCTTCCTCCCTCCTTCTCCCTCCCACAACCTGCTCCTTCCTTCCCCCTTCTCCTCTCACCCAGCTTCCCCCTCCCCCTCCCCCTCTGTGAAGCGAAGCTTCACAGGGTCAGATACACCTCGTCCCTCGAGCTGTCCTCCAAAGCAGCTCTGCACGTTCTTCTTTCCAGCAGCGCCGCCTGCACCGCACAGTACTCGTCACCAGCACTATATCTGCACACGGAGTGTGGAGAGAGGGAGAGATGTGTGGTATTGGGCTCGATTGAATAGAAGGTAGGAGTAAGACGGGGGGCCTCTGAAGGCCCCCGGGACCCCTCTGGCCCCGCGATGAAGGCCTGCAGCCAAATGGCTATGGAGTGAGCGAACACTAAACACGTTCTAAGATCGAAAGATCGACACCGACCCTAAAATATCTTCGCTCACATCCATAGGCTGACCGGCAACGAGTAGCAGAGACAGAAAATTCAGTCCTTCGGAGACTCTTCGAGGCTTCCCCAAAGGTCTGGACGGAAATCCAGCTCAGTCACTGTCTCTAGAGCAGAAATACCTTGACCTTTCCGCCTCTTAGCGGACTCGAACATCTGGTCGTATACTAAGCGCCACCTACAACCGTTACTGAAAAATAAATCTAGTTGCCAACGCTCATGGCCTTTAGTCAGGCTGTTCGCTAACATAGCATCACTGTGTACCCACCTAACTGGACACGCGCATGCCTCGATGCCGTTTCTCAGTGCTAGTAGTTCGAGACCCGTCCTGAACTCTTTGCCTCCCATGAGCTTCTCGGGGCACCTCAATCTGTCGCACAGGTTTTTCGAGTCCGTGACCAGACACCCAGGAACTCGTCGAACTTGGGCCCAGGGATCTCGAAGGTCGGGTCGCCACCCAGAAAGTTCCGAAAGCAGAAACCTGACAAACGTGAGCTCGTCCTCTGTATTTACTGTAGCTGATACTTCGGCCGCCGGGGGTGATCGACAGGTCCGTTCAACTTTCCCTGAACGCCAACTGATCAGTGAGACTCCCGTCTCGATCCCGTCCAAAAACGACTCAGGAACAATCCCGAGAACTCGGCCTTCTGTGGATTTTCCGTCAACTCGATTCGCAAACGCCGCGTCACCCCAACCTACGACCGCCAAAGACTCCTTCTCGGGAAACGAAAACACCTCCAGGAATCTGTTGTTACCCTCTTTGGCTCTCTTGATCAACTTGTTTACCTTCAGGAGGTCCTCTACGATGCACGACTCTGTCTTACTCTGCAACAGACTCAGCTCTGCTAGGATGTCCGGCCCGGTCTGCGTACCCTTCCATTGGAGACTGCCCGTGGCCGCTCGGAACTGACTCTTTTCTGATGATGTGACGGGCGACGATGGCTGTCGCCTCCTGTCGGGAGGCACCTCGATCTCCACGATCTGCTCCAGGTAGGTCTTCTGATCCAGCCGAAAGCTGTAGTCCTCGCGCTGGTAGATGTCCACCCCGCACTGCGTGAACTTACCGTACTCCCACTCGGTCCATCGGAAGGCGTCCATGATTGACTTCTTAGCACGGGTCCACACATCATCTCCGTCACGACCTGCAAAAAGAAAATCATCCACATGTGACAGCGCCATCCCGATGATGTACTCAGGTTGTCCATCAGAGATGAACCGCGTCAGAATCCACACACACGGGTCTGACTCCAGTTGTCGCCAGCCCAGCTCTTGTAACTTCTTGTTCACTGCTTGGTGCCACGCCCGAGGAGCCTGCACCAGACCGTACGCTGACTTCTTGAGGATCGCCACTTGTCCGGGTCGAAGGCCAAGAAACTCCGCGATATCTCCGGTCGGTCTCACGAACAGATCACGATCCAGCTCCTCACCTTGGAGAAACGCCGACTTGACATCGCCCTTGGCCACCCGCATTCGTAGATGAGCCGCCTTCTGAAGGAAGACCTGCCTGGCTGTCCTGGTGGCGGTTGGTGCATATGATTCCTCGGTGGTCAGGTCGGGGTCCTGATAGCCCAGGATGACGAGGCGAGCCTTTGCTTTTCGTCCACCAGGTTCTGATGGATCGATCTTCCACGTCAGGACCCACCGAAGTCGCATGAGACGATCGGCTGGCACTCGTACATGTTCGGGCAACGCCTCCAGGACCATCTCCTTGATCCACTCCTGTGCCTCTTTGGACTTGGCTTTCTTGAACTTCGCCAGGTCGTCAGCCGACAAAGATCGTTCTCGTACCTCAGCTCGCTGTCGACGCAGTTGAGTGGCCACGAACGCTCCAAGGTCTCGCACGGCCGTGCAGGCCCTGGCTCCCTCCGGAAGAGTGATCTCGATCTCGACGGCGCTATCTTCCTTGGCCCAGAAGCAAGACTCGGACTCGCTCTCGACCAGCAATGCACTCTGCTCCTTCTCGTCCTTCGCCAATTGCCTGTCTGACTTGTCCTTGCCATAACCGCCGACTGCCGATGATGAAGTCGGTAGACCTTCCCAGGCATATGGGGAAGTCCTCGTCGACGGAGTCCTCGACTTGTTTGGTGGTCTCGCCGGTGTCGCCGGAAAAGTCCCAGCCACATCTGAAGAGACTGTCCCAGGGGTGTTGCTGTCCGTCTTCAGGGCTTTCGAACGCTGTTCATGTTCTTCCGGACTCCGTTTGCCACGCAGTCGAGGACGTAGTGGCGGGTCTTCTTCCATGACCGTAGGCAGAGGAGGCACCCCTGAGGCCTCATCGTAGTCGCGATCAGAAGGTATGAGACGCTCGTCCTCCGCCAGATCCTCGTACTGACCTGGTCGCAGGTTGCTCGTGAGTTGGTTGAATGTCCACGGCAGTTCAGCTCCATGCAGTATGTCATGCTCGGCAATCTCGCGATCCGAGGCGTCTCGCAGCTGACAGGGATCACACCTGATGAGCCGCCCGCATGCGTTCAGCCACACTCTCGGTCGAGCTTGAGCTTCACCGTGCCGGTGAACAGTCTCGCTCGCCAGCACGCGTGCGGGCCCGTAGAAACGTCCAGTCATAGAGCTGCTCTTCGGGTTCCTGAAGTAGTAGACCAGGGTGCCGGGTGTGTAGACTCGAAGGCGCCGAGATCTGGCATGTGCTGCACGCCTAGCTCGCTCGCCGTAAATCCACCTCAAGAGCTCCTCCTGTGCCTTCCTCATGAGCTGGAAATTGTTCCCGAACTCTGCGTCTATGGCCTCCGACTCCAGAGCTGGAAGGTTGATCGGGTCACCGGGAACGTCGATGAACGCACCATCTAGATCTGGTGCTCGTCCCAGTGCCACTTGAAGAGGTGAGAAACCCCGGTGTCGGTCGAACTCATTGTAGGCGGCCATAGCCCTGGCCAGGTACTCCTCGCATGATCTTCCAGGATGCTCCTTCGCCAACACTGTCATGGTATCCTTGATGAGGCTGATGAGTCTCTCGACCCCGCCGATCTGCCAATGAGCTTGACCTGGAATGGGATCCATCTGAATACCGCTTCCTTCCAGGTTCTCCCGGATAGCGTTGCTCATCCACGCACCTTCAGGGTCTACCTGAAGCACTCGAGGTCGACCGAAATACCCGATCCACCTGCTCCAAATTGAATATTTCAAATCCTCTGCCGTGGCGTTCCTGCTCTTGACCATCTTGTATAAAGTGTGTCCTACTCCCAGTCGGCTTCCCATATCCAGGTAGAGGACCATCTTGAACTTCTCATGAGTACATGGATCCTCCCATTCAGCCAGATCGCTCTGAAGCACTGCCCACTTCTTCGGAACTTCGTCAGCTGACCCCACCGGTCGGGGTGGACAGTGCTTCTGACTCTCGTCACACGCTGAACAACGCATCTGCCTGACATGGTCGACGATCCGCTTGTCCGCTCCCTTGGCTGCCAAAGATTTCGCCACCTGGGCGAACGGGCAATGACCACACGCGGCATGGATACGTCGAGCTGAAATCTCCACCTTCCTGAGCGTGTTAGCGTCAATCTCTGCGTCAGACTTCGAGACTGCGTAGCCCAGCTCCAGGTCGTTCTCACCCTCCTGCTCCTCGATGTGCCGTTTGATCTCCATGTAGCCCGGCTCGTGTAGCATCGCTCTGACTGCTCTCCGGACGAACTCGTCAGGATAGTAGGCCGTGGCCGCCGTCCGGGCTCCACCTACGCACGGAGAGTGAGAATGGCGTCCATCGCACCGCACCGCCAGACGCTGACGGAGTACACTGGACGTCGACCAAATCTCCCACGGCTTCTGCATCGCCAAACCCGTGTCTATGGCCTTGACCCCGAGCATGCAGCCGTCACACACTGTGGGCTGCATCTCGGCGTCTCTGAAAACTTGACGGAGCTCGGGCCAGCGGTAAGGTGAGAGGTCCTTCGGCCACTCCCAGTGTACATGTCCTTGATCTGCCACCTGATCCATGACGAGGATCAGGCAGTTCCTGATCAACCTCTTGGACTTCTTACGGCTCTGCAGAACCTGAGCCCAGACTTCTGGTTTGTGAATGTTGAAATTCTGGTTGCCACTCCAAGGTCCACACGGAAGAGAAAACCACAAATGACAGGGTCGCACTCGGTGACGTTCAGTACGCGCTCTCTGTAAGCCCGCAGCGGTCGACAGGTCGAAACCGTTCCAACCACTAATTCGTGATGCACTGCCCGCTCCTGACTCCTGCTCCATGAAGGTGGTTAGGCCCGATGCTGGGGAGCAACAGACCTCCATTAGCTTGACCTTCGCAGTGTCCGTCAGGAGCGACCACGCCGGCGTAACGCTCTTGTCCAGGTGCCCCGCCAGCCAGGTCGCCTGGGAGCTCGTGAGTTCTTTCATGGCCCCTTGCCGGCCCGCCCAGACGGGGCGGCCGTCGACGACCCCTCCTCGACCTTCTGCACTCTCGAGGTCAGCGCGTGCATCTGATTCTTCATGTCCCCCAGCAGGTCGATGATCTGGTCCTCCCTGGTCTTGACGTCCTCCATCCTGACCGGCTCCTCGTGGCACAGCCTCTTCATCGTCGGACGGTTCGGGATCCTCTGTGCGCTCTCCTCCTTGACATCCTTGACCACGAACCATGGGCTCTCCGACTTCTCGTACTTCACCTCTGGCTGCGGAAGCTCGAACTTCTCCTTGTTCATCATGTCCTCGGCCTTCAAACCCTTGGAGACCAACCAATCGGTCAGCTTCTTGAACCTCGGGTCTTTCATGCTCACCAGCCAGCCCGCATATTCGCGCTCCTTCTCGAACAGGTGGAGGTACGTCTTGCCGCGGTGCCTGCCGAACGGGATGACCTCGGAGGGACTGACCTGGACACCGAGGTCCTTGTGCCTCTCGACGATCAGGATCTGGAGGTCCCCTTTTGTCTCCTTGCCTGTGAGCACGCATCCGACCTCCTCTGCGTCCTTCGTCAACTCCGCCTTTTTCTTGTGCATGGACGTCGGCCTCATCTCGAGGGGCATCGCCTTGTGAATCTGCCGCAGCCTGGCACGGAGCATCTCCACCGTCATGTGTCGGCAGTCCTCGTCCCACTGGCATAGCTCCGCCTGAAGCTCGGCCTTGCGCATCGTCGAGGTGTGAGGGTGACCGTGCATCTCGAGAGACGCCCCCTGGCAGGACAGTCCCCTGTGAAACTGATAAACTTTGAGCCACAGTATGGGCACGGGCCATCTGTGAGGACCACGTGGGGCTCAGCTGGGCATCTTCGTACCCCTCCAACCGCTCGGCTCTGTAATTTGGTTCTGTTTCGAAGTCCGTACTGGAGCTCGTATTGGATTTCTCGTTATCTATGTCCCTAGATTCCACTGGCTGCTCGGCTGATTCAGAGCCTTCTCTTGACGCCCGAGGGGCACCCCTAGACGTACCCGAAGATGCCCTCGGGGTCTCTGGAGATCTCGTTTGGCTTCCCGTAGGTCTTATCTGGACTCCCGTGGCCGCCCTCTGGGATCCTAGACACGTTTTCTGAGAACACGACGTGGGCCCCGACGACGTAGGACAGGCCCCACTAGACCTCGAACCAACCCTTGAGGTCCCGAGAGTTGCCCGTCTCGAACAGGAGGTAGTAGACCGGGTTCCAGCAGAGCTCCTCGAGGTCCCACTCGGAGCCCATTTTGGAGCTTGAGCCTCGCCTGGCCTGCTATTCAACGACGCCGTCGCCATCAGTACTGTCTCTGCCGTACCGTCACTGTCGGTCGCCACGACGTGATGAGCTGATGGAGGAGGTGGGGGAGGAACGCATGGCGCAAACTCGGGCGCCTCCTCGACAGTGTCTCCAAGCGCGGGGAGCGGCGCCTGGCTAGAAAGCGAAGCCACGCCACGGCTCAAGATGCAATCGCCCGGCCTGTCGGTGACCCCGACGTCGCCCAGGAGATCGCACGCCAAGTCGATCAGGAGGTGGCCAGTCCTGGACCTCTGGAAAGAAATCATCCTGTGCGGGTCGATGCTCTTGAAGACGCCGATGCCGGCCTCGAAGTCGATCACGGCTCCGAGCTGCCTCAGCGTCTCGATGGATACCAAAATGGGAATCCCAGGAGCGTCGACCGCATGAACCAGGAAAGACACATACACGCCCTCGACTTGCAGCTTGAACTTTACCCGGCAGAGGACCCGCTTCACCTCGCCGTTCCCGAACTTGTGCACTGGGCGGTCAGTCAGGTCCACCTCCATCGGCGGATGACCCCTTGCGATGAGCAGCTCATTCAATGCCTCCACCGCCTCGATGCCGCCGATGGTCTTCGTAGCTCCGGAGTCCATGATTCCGTGGCCCATCTCCGTTGTCCTCGATACGATGTAGGCCATCTTGATCTCAGGGTCATCTAAGTCCACACTGTTGTTCAGGTCGACGCAATCTCCGTCGACGATCTCCGCCGTCAGGACCAGCCCATTGAACGTCTCCCCCTGCTGTGGGGGTCCTCTGGGACCAGGTGCACGTCCAGCGAGCTTTGGATCTCCACGGTCCGGACACGCACCTGTACGATGGGCTCCTCCGCACTTTAGGCAGGGTCCTTGACGACCATCACTTCGAGAAGCGCCATTGTTGTTGAAGAAACGCCGTCCTGTCCTGTGCTTGTTGATCTGCTGTCGGGCTTCTTGAAGCCTGCGCTGACTGGCCTGGAACTGGGCAAAAGCTTCTTCTTCCTCGTCGATGGCATTAGCGAAAGCCGAATCGTCACCTTCATCCCCGTCTTCCTCCGGTTCAGCTTCCGCCACCGATGTCACTAGAGCGTGATCACGCTCCTCCTCTCCGTTCCAGGTCTGGGCGTCCTCGCCGTAGAACGCCGCTGCCGCCACTTGCTGACGGATGAACTTTGACTTCCTATAGTCCCGGCCCTTCAGATTCTCGTCGCTGGGCCACTGAGTACGTAACGCGCTCTCCACGCTGTCCACGGTGAAGTCGCCCCTGCATGATCCGATGACCGCCGCGATCTCACCACCGTCCAGACCCGCTCGGTGGAGTAGATACCAGCCCCTGATGATGCTCGGGAGAACCTCCGGCAGGTCATGCGTCGGGAACGTGCCCTGGCTCTCACGGTCGAAGCCGCGCTGTTGCCAGTGACCGTCGTTCCAGCCGCCCTGCCACCAGCGCTGGCGCCGCCGCCAGTCTTGTCCGTCAGCTCCTCCCTCGACCTCCCAGTCTCGGACTTCGTCAGGCTCCGCATCTGCAACGGTGCCCTCCTCACCGCCACCTATCCGATGCCACAAACCCGACCCCACGTCCACTGGCCACTCGTCGAAGGCCGTCGCTGTCGTCGCTGGTGTCTTCACGATCTCCGTCTTGCCGATCATCCGGGCGAGCGCCACTCGCAGCCGTTGGTAGCTCTCGTGTACCCGCAAGCAATACTCGGCCATACCCTCGCCGCGCCGGCGGCGAAGTTTCACGAAGTACTCTTCCATGTAGTGGCCAACGTCCTCGACGGGCTGCCTCATGACCGTCTGCTGCAGGTGCTCCAGCAGCTTGTCCGCACCCCACATGGACGAAAGCCAGCCTCTCGGCCGACCTATGCACGCCGTCGCCGCCGGCCCGGACAGGCGTGCCACCAACCTGGGGCCGCACAGATACCTGTCCTCCCACTTTGTGCCGTCCACGTAGTTCATCACATTTTGTTGGCACCGCTCCCATGTCGCAGCGCTACCATTCCACGTAGGGATATGCTGATTTGCATTCTCCATGGAGCAGAAACCTGCTCCGCTACCATGTGAAGCGAAGCTTCACAGGGTCAGATACACCTCGTCCCTCGAGCTGTCCTCCAAAGCAGCTCTGCACGTTCTTCTTTCCAGCAGCGCCGCCTGCACCGCACAGTACTCGTCACCAGCACTATATCTGCACACGGAGTGTGGAGAGAGGGAGAGATGTGTGGTATTGGGCTCGATTGAATAGAAGGTAGGAGAAAGACGGGGGGCCTCTGAAGGCCCCCGGGACCCCTCTGGCCCCGCGATGAAGGCCTGCAGCCAAATGGCTATGGAGTGAGCGAACACTAAACACGTTCTAAGATCGAAAGATCGACACCCTCCCCCTCCCGCCGCGCCGACGCCGACCGCGACGGCGAACACGACGACGACCGCGACGACGACCACATCGCCGCCGCCGGCCCGCCCGCCGAGAGGGGGCCGCCGAGAGGGAGCAGGCCGAGAGGGCCGCCGATGTGGCCGTCGAGAGGACCGCCGCTGTGGCCGCCGAGGAGCCTCCCGACCGAGAGGGTCGGCGGCCTCCGGCGGCTGCCCCCGCGGCGACAGCGAGGCGCCGCCCGGCGCGGGCGCGGGCGCCAGGAGGTCGTCCCGCTGGGGCTGCGGTCGTGCCGCCGGCCCCCGGGGGGCCAAAGCGGGGGGGGGGGGGGGGAGCCAGCGCGCAGAGGAGGGTCCCCTGGCGGCCCGAAGAGGGCCCTGGGAGCGGGGGATGGGCCCTCCTCCTCCTCCTCCTCCTCCTCCTCCTCCTCCTCGCTCCTTGCCAGTTTGGCTCAAGTTCAAAACGCGCCGCCCTGGCGTTTCGAGCTTGCCCACAGCCAAGGGGCGCGGCTCAGAGGCCGCACGCGGAGGACATGCGGCCATGCGAATCCTGCCCCGAGGCTGCACCAAACAGCCGCCCGCAGGAAACGTCACACTTACTGTCCTTTTCTGGGCTGCTCTGGCCCTGCGATGTCTTGCTACGTGTGCTGCAGCAAACCGGTATGCTCAGGTTGGGCGTGGGCCAATCGAGCATGCTGGTGCAGCGAACGCGGAACGAAGTTCCAGATCCAGAAGCAGCCGAACCACCGGATAGGCAAGTCTGAGGAAGATCGAGGGCGTGATATGCCCAGCATATTCAAGCCTGGCAGCTGGAGACGAACGCGTCCCTCTCAGCCGTCCAATTCCAACGCCGCCGAACAGGAGCAGGACCAACCACTGGCAGAAGACGGACCTCCTGATCAAGCATCCCTGTCCCAAGCCCTAGTCTCCTTCGGGAAGACATGGGTGAGGGGTACTGGGCAAGGAAAACATCGACGCCGTGGAATACCTCAAACAAGCCGAGCAAGCTGCCTTGCGAGGCAAGAGCTTGGACCGACAGACGCAGATGGTCTCTCATCGGCCAGGCGCAGACCATCAAAGCCAAGACAGCCACCACCGAGGAGGTCCAGTCCATCGAGGTTCAGATCGCGAACCTGGCCGACCAGTACAAGGAGAAGCCCACCGAGCTTCAAGATAGCCGAGTGGAACTCCAGCAGCTTGAAACTCAGTTGGCCATGGCAGCTATAGCGGCAGCCCAAGAGGCAGAGGAGTTAACCGACGTCACACAGATGCGCTACGCGGCGATCCAGGCCACAGTGCCACAAGGAGGCGTCGTCCCAGAGATCCTGTCCAACAAGGTGCAAGAGGTGGGCGAGCTGTTCCAGAAGCTACAGGAATACATGAGCGCACCACGTCTACAACACCAGTGACACCAGCAGAACCAGCTGCTCCAGCACAACATCCCGAAGTACCAGGACAGGCAGCGACTGCGGCGGCCGCAGCCTTCGGCACTGGTGGCAGAGTAATGGCAGTACCAAACGCTGAGCCAGATAAGGATGAGGACATGCCCCACACATTCAGCGGCGTCGGGCGGGCAGCGGTCGAAATCGACAGCGTGTCCAAGATCATGGAGGCCCCGAGCACCGAAAATACCAAACAGCTCAAAGGGGGCGTCGACCGCGGCTTAAGCAGCAGCGGCGCCAGACCTTCACCGTCAGTCTTTAGTCAGCACGTTTCCCTGATGTCATGAATTTGAATTGGTTGGAGTACCCTCCAGAAATGCACCATCTCCTAGCATGCGCAGCAAGTCAACCCCATCTGTGCCAAAGAACACAGGCTTCGGGATGATGATGCGATTGCGCAACAAGTGCAGTGGTGCCAGCGCGCGGGAAGGCTAGCACACATAGCACCAGCAGACCTCAATGACAATGGCGAGCTCATGAACGGCGTGGCCACCTTGTCACGAATAACCTCGATATCGGCGTGTCCAACATGACGATCCATCAAGCTGTCCGCAGCAGAAGCAGCAAGCTCACAGGCGCGCTCATGGATATGCCCAGCACGTCCAAGACAGAGGTATAAATGTGTGCTGGTTCCAAGGCCTCAGCTGGACTTGAGAAAGTCAACCTGGGCGTGTTAGCAGAGGTTGCCACCAAAGAAGACGAGAAACAAGTGCTGATCACTATCGCTGGTGATTTCAATCTGGCCCCATTCAAGGGTCGAACGTGTGGACTTTCCCCATAAGGCCTCTATGAAACTGGTGTCCTAACCACCGTAACAATAGAACCTAATTGCTGTTGGATTAATTCCTGTGCAGCGAGCCCCTCGGGGAGCGCATCCTGGACGAGAAAAACCTTGGACAACTATCCGCCGATGTCTCCCCACAGGCCACCAAGACCTCCAAGGGGAATTCGAGAGCCCCGAGGGGCGTGATGCAGCCATAGGCGCTGACGCGGCCGACAAAGCTGCGAAGCAGGCCGTGCAATCCTTCTTCAGACCCAGTGAAGCCAAGTCCGATGTTCACACATATGGTACCAAACTGCTACGGAGATTCCTCGAGTATCTCGCCACCATTCTGCCTCGGTGGCCCGCTCTCACCCCAAAGAACGGGAAGAAGGGCATGGTCACGCCAACCAACACTAACCCACCCATCGGGGCCGATTTCGCCCCCCACATGTGGGAGCCAAACCGTCTCTCCGGGACTCTGTCCTCCGTTTCCCTCGGGGATCCTAGGGACCGCGGGGGAAGGCCAGGCAACGCTCCACAATTGGGAGCGTGTTACGTAGTAGATACTGGCTCTGCACCGTCTGCAGGTCAGAGAAACGTCAGCCAGTCACCAGATAGCCAGAGCTGACTTACAACGCCCTGCGTACTGAAAAGCCACGGCCGTGTTAGCGGAGAACCCCAGAAGGCACAACCTGATCTGGCTAGAATATCGGAAGAATTAGAGCACACGCATCTTGTGTAAGCGATGTGGAGCCTACACTGAGCGCGGGAATGATCTGACAGGAGTGCAAGCTGAGTCCCCCGCGAACAACGGTGCGGCCCCTCGCCTTGGCAGAGCCTTCCACCTTCAGCACCGCAAGAGTGGAAGGAACTCTTCTGTGACTTCCAAGCCACATGTCCCCCTCAGCACACTTTGATCAGGCTCTTCGCCTAGCTCAGGCTCACGCCCCAGATACCAGATACCCAGTCTGGACCGCAGGCCTCAGATCGGGAGGCATCATGCCCTTCTGTCGCCACGATGGGACAATCGCGGTGGATCGAACTCCTCCTCCTCCTCATCATCATCATCATCAACATCATCATCAACATCATCATGATCATCATCATCATCAGCATTATGATCATCAGTATCATCATCATCAGGAACGACAGCTGGTCCTCCTCCTCCGCCTCCTCCTCCTCCTCGCCCCCCTCCCACCTCGCTCCTTCCCGTCTCCTCCCTTGTTCCTCTTAGGTGCGGGCCCCTTCTTCCCCTCCCCCCTCCTCCTCATCCTCAGCCTATTCCTTCTCCTCCTCTTACTCGTTCTCGTTCTCTGTCCCTTCCTCTCCCTTCCCCTCCTCCTTCTCCTTCTCGTCGTCGTCCTCCTCCTCCATGACCTCCCGCCAAGCATTCCCGCGCGCGGGAGAAGGTGGATAGATCGGACGGAAGTGATGAGAGGAATGAGGAAAGGAAGAAGGAGGAGAGGCAGGGTGAGAGGAACGACGACGACGAGGACGATGAGGAGGAAAGCATAGAGAAGGTGGACAATGAGGAGCAAGAGAAAGAGTGCTTGGTATCCACGGCCAAGAGCCCGCCTTACGCATGGCAATACGTTGGAACGTTGGAGCAAGAGGAGGAGCAGCAACAGCAGGATGAAGAGGAGGAGGAGGAAGAACAATGGGGAAGGAGGAGGAAAAGGAGGACCCGTGCAAACCCAAGACTCATAAACAATGTTGGAAGACACCCTCCCTCCAAACTACCTCTTCACAACTCCCTACAAGGGTTCACGTCCACTGAAATAATTCTCCCGCTGGGGGACAACCTTGTAAAACTCCAAAGCGTGCCAACATACCATCATCCAGAAATCAACGCCACGAATTAACCTGATTGTAAAATCTTCGCGCTTCTGGCTATTGCCTGAACGCCAATCCTGGGACTTCAACACCGCGAATCAACGTAACGGGTGTGCCCCGACAATCATTAACAGGTCCAAAACACCATCTCTGGTACGTTTAGCCATGGAAACCAATGAAACCTCTGCAAGCTTTCAAAGCGAATGCGCACGGCGCTGATACGAGAACCACATTTTGGAAACCACCCGCCTTCAATCTGGGAGACGCTGACGAATTTGTAGAAAGTCTGTGCGCGGCGCTGGGGCGAAAACCACATTTCGAAAACCACCCGCCCTCAATCCGTAAAGCCCTGGGATTTGTTTGCAACGAGTGTGTGCGGAACCAGGGTGAACACCACGTCTTGAAAACAGCCCGCCCACAATCCGTGAAACCCGTGCAGCGTGTAAGGCGGAATGTGCGCGGCGCTAAGGCGAGAGCCACAGCTTGACAACCGCCTGCCCTCAATGCGTCAAACTCTTGCACAATCTGATAATGAATGCGCGCGGCGCTGGGGCGAGAACAAGACTTGAAAACAAACCACCCCAAAAAACGAATGTGCCCGGCGTAGAAGCGAAAACCACATTTGGAAAACCACCCGA